CCATCGTTGCATTCAGGGATCTTGTGCCAGGAGACCCGAGTTTCCTGAGGGAGTCTATAACCGTCGAGGTTATGATGGTTCTGAGTTTCAGCATATCATCACTAGCACTACTGCATGCTGTCGATCTTATAAATTAGGTAGTCATATCATGAAAAATCCATAATTTCAGGATTAGGTCTATTATTTCATCAGTACCAATGACAAACTAGGTGATAATTCTACAAGTTCACCAGCTTTCACTGTACAAATTACAAAAGAGTCCAATGAGAGACATCGTAGTTGCTGGCAATATAATCCAAAATGAATTTACGCGATCATTCAATATTTATCGGCAGGATGGATCAAGAAATAAGAAACGGAAATTTGTTGAAATACTTTTTGTCGACAATTCTATATTGCACCAAAAATATAATGTTGGGCGAAACTAATAACAATAAAAACGATAAAATGAAAAACCATACCCTGATGTTAACATAAAGTGTATCAGCAAAACTTATCATCATAAACTTTGATATTAGGAGTGTACATACCGCCATCAATGCTCTTGAGTCGATGACACCCCTATCAATCTTTTGTACAATGTCAGGACAGGACATACAGACGCATTAGCTTTAGAGACAGGTGCATATCCCGAAACCTGGAAGGTAACGTATGTTCTTCCCAAACACAAATCAGGACCGGAAAACGTGGTCGAAAAATACAGACCTATGAATATCACTCCAGCTATATCACGCGTAATGAAAAAGTGACGTCAAATTAAATATCTGATTACCTACTTAGGGAAAACTTAATAGACCCGTCACAACACAGCTTCATTAGAACAATGTCCTGCAGTACATGTCTAATAGACTGCTTTAAAGCGGTTACTCGCTTACGTAACCAAAAAAACTAGTGTTTATACTATATTTTGATATTAAGAAAGCCTTTAATAAAGTACCTCGTAACATCCTTCAGTCAGTTGGAATCATAAACCTCCTATTGCTATGGATCCAGTCTTTTCTCACAAACGGATGCCAAATAACCAATATTAACTCTACAGCATCTACACGTCGACCAATAACGTAGGCGTCTGACGCATCACAATGAAGGTAAACAGTACGATGGGCGAAAAAGAATATACAAAAATGCAGAAACAATACCACTAAATGTAAGAATTAAATGTGATATACAATGTCCCAATAAGTAACAGATTCACAGTTTATTGTTCGGTGTACCGGATCACATCGTGCTCACAACTAAAGATGCAACATGTATTCGGAGTTTGACAACGCCTTTACATGTGTCACTTTTATAATCGAGGTATACCAAACCATTCAAATCAATTGTCAGAAGTGAATGGGTTCGAATATACATTTGGAAAGCTATCGGTGTGTTGAGAAGTGTTTGGTGTGAGCTGGGTATCAGTCACAAGGAATGCATAGCACAGAGTACTTAATCGTGATAGGGTACAACAGCGTTATCAAGCGTCTTCGACCAGGTGTGTCCAGTAAAACTAACGGGGTCAGAATCAAATGCCGAAGACCTACAGAACCGCTTATTGTGGGGATTTATTTGCCGCTAGATAGTGGCTTGAAATAGTTTTTTCTGATGACCAATTGCTAAAAATGGATATGTTATGTCTACTGGCTTCAAAAAATTTGCTTTCCTGAAAGAGAAGTACACTCACTCACACTATAAGATACACAAATGTACAAATAACTTCTGGAATCATTGTCACTAGTGAAGTTGAGTGAATCAATAACAAGACAATAAACACTACTAAATTACTGGAACCGTAAAAAGATGACAAAAGAAATGAAGTCGGAGAAGACAGTCTTTTTAACCATGCTCGTGCGAAAATATTTTCTTTTGGATATTGGCAATCTGAACCACATCTGAATTTGATAGTCTGCGTTACACGTACGTAGGTGTTCACTATTGTATGTTTATGTTACATAGCACAAGTTTCGAATTTACTCATATTTTGCTTAAATTATAGACTTTAACAAATGCATTCGGCTAATTATATGTTCAGGGTAATTGAAATTGAGATTGAAAACTTCTAATGTTTGAAAAAGTTTAATTTCCATAAAATACTGGTTATAACTTTTGGAATGTGGAAGGAAAAGAAGTGTTATCATTTTGCATTATTTCGTTCACGGTCCTTCCTAATTTTGCGGGACAACTTTGGGCGACACTCTGAAGCATCACTTTTAAACAGGTCGTGCTAATCCATGTTCACTATTAAATGTAGACGAACGGACCGAAAGTCAGCTCCGTAAGCAGTCCATTTCACAAATTTAGTCTCACAGCCACGATGGCAACGTCAGAATTAAAGTTTGGGGCTTGAATTTGATTTAGATTTAGGTTTTCCTTTACGAACTGATATCGGCTCTAATTCAAATATTCATATTATGTATCTTGATCTTAATCCATTCGTTCATTTCTATCATTTATAGTTAATCACTTTGAGGTATCAGGGCGGGTCACTATGCCGATTTTTTCGTTATTAGGTGTCGAAACTTAACTTTGTTCCTTCGAGAAATTTGATTGTCACTTGATTATTTTGTCCAGTGGAGTTGCAACACCTCTGTTTTAATGGATTTGTTAAAGACTAGATGTTTCTTTGCCAACTTCTACGCTCATTATGAACTCAACTACTCCCTCTTGTTTTCCTTAACTGTAATAGTATTAACATATGCCTAAGAGGTATTGTGCACGCAGATAATTGAAGATACGAGTCCGTTGATAAAGAGCAGAACTAAGTTTGTGCAGCCTTCCTGCATGTTTTGTGAGTATGCCAACAACTCGAGAACTTTTGACGTAACTGGTGTTTGTAGCCAAAAACACTGGATTATTTTATGAGGCTGAATTAATTTCCCCAACTACTCTTTGGATTTTAGATAAGACTAGTTTGAGGAATCATACTGACGTATCATATGTGACATGTTCATTATTACTACTGACTTCCATAACTCTGGTCAGAGTATTTCTTCATCCTTTGTCACAAGAATATCACATTAATTCATACCTTACTGATAACTTTCAGCATCTTTTAAAATGGTTCTGAGATGGTAAATCTAGATTTTACCTGTTCAAAATGCAAATAATATAAAAAAATTGTTTATTACACAAAGATCCAAGATATTATGTGTCATGGTTAAAATTAAGTATTAAGAGTAAAAATTGGGAATGAGGTAGAATGCTTTGTAAACACGGATTGATGCTTGTGTAGATCATTTTACGACTTTAAGTATCAAAAACTTAAGTGTTACCTTTGAAACTTCTTGAATCATTGTCCCAATGTTTTATCGTTTCCATAGTTATCAATTTTATTCGTTTTAGTAGCTGTATTTTGTTAAATTTTGTTTAATTTTTAATATCCACGCTATCTATCGTCCCATTTTAAGTTCATTTAAATTTTATCGGGTCACTATTTCCGTAGGGTTGGGTCATATAAAAACGACATACCAGTGATTTCATTGTTCAGTGTTGTTTCATTTTGACTGACATAAATGTGCGTTAGATTGAGGTTATCAAAAAATCAACGTTACTAACCTAAACATATGTATATCGTTTTGATGGCCGTATACAAACTAATTATTTCATTACGGGCTGGTTGAAGAAAGTGTTTTACTGCTTGTGTATCACCAGTTCTCTTATCTGAAAAGGATAAAATGGAAACAAGACCGTCGTATTATTCAATCACTCACTTATGAGCAATTTTTCGAAACAGTATCGGAAATTTCAGAACAACGAATTAAGAATCTGTAGTTTTAAAAAGTTGATTCGAGGCTAATAAATTCTCCGTAGATTTTTCACCAAGGTTTCGTCGGGCTTTCGTTCCATAAATGCCATTTGGGATAAAAAAATGTTTGCAAATAGATACTAGAAGATCACTCAGGAGTGTCTTGAAACTATCGGATATAGCCTAAAACCAAAAATGTCAATGACCTCACTGTATTTTTTGTTTGCGTGATGTTTAGTCAGTTTTACAGGTGAAAATGCAATATAGACTCTTGCAGTGCATCTAACAATTTGTCTATTGTAGTATACTAGTTTTCTGTACTGCTGTTTACTTATTGTTGGATATTCGCTGAGGTTCCATATTGAACACCTTTATTCACCGTGCTTCTCTAGCTCTCGAAGTGTCTCGAATCGAATTTTACTCTTTTAACTTGATGTCGAACCTATGTAGTTTATACAACTTATTATTATATAATTTTGTTATTTTAACACATAGATATTGGTACAAAAAGGCACCAAATACATATGCGCCACACAAATCTCATTCGATATATGTGAGGGCTGTGATACTGCCCGGATTCCCAAACCGAAGTAGGTGGTTTTCTTAGGGGGCCACTCCCCGAGCCTTCGACCTACAGGTCTGATCCACAAGGCAGTGGAGCATCGTAAGGAGATGCAGTCCCATGGAAGCCGGTGACCAACGATTGGTTCATACGCCATTTGTTCCCTCAGGATACTGTAGCCCATGTACACCATTGGTTTAGAATCCGGTTAAAGCGCCGGACGTTCGGTTTTCGTCCTCTGAATTTCGTAAATTACAGTAATGCCACGAGAAGTCAGTGAGTAGGACTTCCCTGGCAGAGGCTATATACGCGTAGCCATGTGAGAGCATTTCGAAAGGGAGAGCAGATTCTCCCTACTCTCGGCCGTACCGGGGCATTTGGGGGCAGTTTATACAACTAATAAGTTTAAATTGATTTCTTGATTTTCTTAGTGTTCACTAAAAAATGAACAATGTTATCTTGAATGATATCACGGATTTACAAAATACTATGGAAATACTACATAGATACTTTTCTCCTTTGCTAATTATCCTCGCTTCAATTATAAATAATGAGGGTAGTATTATTTTTGTTTCTATTTTTTGCACATTGACTAGGCGGTACTTTATATTGATCGATTCTAAACACCAGAACCTGCATGTTTCGTATATACCACTTTTAGTAACTCAGAAATGGTAAACGTATTATTTGTTTTCGGTTTTCAGCTTCACTATGTGCAGCCTGTTTATGAAAAAAATTCGAAGAAATTACAGGAGTAAAGCTGGTGACTCAGACGATGAGCAAAGTCAGGAGTCTGAGAGCTTATATGATGAAGCCGTTAAAGAAATAACGTCTCAAATTAAACCTGATGTATCGTTAATCAAGAAAACAAGAGCGTTTTAAGTTTCGAGGATGATCTTGACCCAGGTAAAGAAAACCACTTCTTGATTTTATGGTCATCATATTGTAGATGATGGTGACACATTTAAAGTTAAGAAATCTTCAATGAGTCGTAAGATTACTAAACAAACGAAAGAAGGTAAAAGAAGAAAAACCATGGAAATGACGGCTTAAAGATAGTCGGTGACTTTCATAAGAATTTAGTTTCATATGACGAAAGCTCTCCTGATCCCGAAGAAAATCTTGAGGTAGGATTTTGTATAAAGGCCTGAGTCAAATCCAATTAATTTATCTCAGAATTTAAGAAAAGAATTATTGAATTTAGCCGAAGATGAAACAACTTCTGAAGTAGTTCCATCTGTGAAATCCGAACCCAGCAATGTGACTTCAATGATAAAGCGTACGTCTCATGTATTATTTAATTTCCACACAGAGGGTGTAATCCCTGATGCGGCAACAATACATTTGGCTCGTAAACAACGTGAGAAAGCTAAAAGTCTCATTGAATCATCTGATCATTCACCTACCTATTATTCATCTAGTAAAAATGATGGTAGACGTTTAGTGAGGTAAATTATTTGTGTTTTGATTACTAGAAAATTGAGAGTAATTCGTACAAACTACGCGCCACAGTTTTTATTTGAAGGTTTATTTATTTATTTATTTATTTATTTGAACACATTAATACTGGCACAAGAGGGCGCCAGTTAAATATGCGCCACACAAACCTCATTTGATATGTGTAAGGGCTATGATACTGCCCGGGTGCCCAAACCGAAGCAAGCAGTTTTCTTAGGGGGCCACACCCGGAGCCTTCGACCTACAGGTCTGATCCACAAGGCAGTGGAGCATCGTAAGTAGATGCAGTCCCATGGTAGCCGATGACCAACGATTGGTTCATACGCCATTTGTTCCTTCAGGATACTGTAGCCCATGTACACCATTGGTTTGGAATCAGGGTTTTCCAACTCCTCTAGGTGGACTCTCCATGTCCACCAACCCGGTTAAAGCGCCGTACGTTCGGTTTTCGTCCTCTGAATTTCGTAAACGACAGTAATGCCACGAGAAGTCAGTGAGTAGGACTTCCCTGGCAGAGGCTATATACGCGTGGCCATGTGAGGGTATTTCGAGAGGGAGAGCGGATTCTCCCTACTTTCGGCCGTACCAGGGCATTGGAGGGCAAAAGGTAAAGGTTATCATTGTCAGCTGACTATCAAAAAGGGACTTGGTCAAGGGATTGTAAACAATTGGCTTAATAATAAAAAGTTAAATACCTAAACTACTAAGTTATATTTTATGAAATATCGCCGTTTTTAAGGAAATTCTTTTGGCTGAAAAACATTCAGACACTTTAGCAATTAAATTATTGGATAACTGAAGGGTTATCTTTTAATTCCTTTAATTATGACATCGAATGGATAGATGTGATTTTAAAAGATCTTACAAACTGTCCATATATTCTATTTGAAATTCTCGTTATTACTGGAGTTGAATAATTAAGAAATATTAATTTGTAACTTTTATTGCATGTCTTGTGTAGTCAGTTTATTTTATTTTATCTTAAAAATATAACTTTTCAGATTTCATATGTTTATTTGTACTGTATGTATGCTCGTTTATGAACAAACAAAACATCTGTCTTACACTTGGTTTACCACAATTCATCTCGTAACATTTGATTTTGGATAATATTATGGTGTGGCTTACTTATATTGAGATTAGATGGTGGTTGGAGGTAGTCAACAGGAAACCCTGGACCCGGGTTTCGTGCTACTTAGTACTCATCAGCGAGGTGTACCTGTAATCTTGAGGGAACTGGTGCTCCATGGCGGATTCGATCTCGTGTCAACCAGCTTCACAGTCAGAGACGTTACTACTGAGCTATCTGAGCCGCAACTGACCTCCTGTAGGACTGAGATGTAATCACAATTGACTGATCACTTATATCCACATGAGTAGTATATAGTAGTGGTCAGGCATAGAATGTATTTCAGGAGAAGATCGATGAGGAAAGAACGGAAACGAAGCGCAATTATTATGAAAATGCAGGAACAATGAAATCTGATACAATGGACTGATATTTGTAAAGGAACAGTCAAATTTGAGACGATGTATTGATATTTTGCAAATTAACGATTTACTATATGGTTCTCAGATTTTATTGAGATGCTCTGTAATTTCGTGTCAAATACATTCGATTGTCCCCACTGGTGCTCTGTTCACTACAATATCAAGAGGACATAATAATTTCTAGTTGATGATAAGATTGGTTAGTATTTCAAGTCCTTTAATTCTCTTACAAATGTCTTTTAACTATTGGAGGGTTATTTAAGAAAATAATTTCAGTCACAGTTTTATTTTTTCTCACCGCATTTACTGCTTTCTCTCGTATTTAGAGAAGATGATGACGATGATGAGTTGAATGATGATGAAGATGCCAATGATATGACAACTGTCTCATTTTCAAACTCTGCCAGTGAAATGAGACCAGTTTTTGTTGTCAGTAAAGACCGTGAAACTTGTAGTAAACGCGCAGTTATAGGTGCTCGTTTGAATCGTCGTGAAGAAGAATTGAAATGCATTCGAGAAGATTTCATGGCAGCTGAACATGGTAGTGATCGAGACAGTGATCAAGAGATTGAATGGGAAAGACAACAACTTCAAAAGGCTATTATTAATCAAGTTCGTTTCCGTCTATTTTTCATCATAGTTATTTTGCATATCTGAAACAAATAAATAAGTGGAAAGCTTTCCCTTATTCCCCTTTGTTCTATCGTTGCTTTTACACAAATTTTTAACTCCCTGTCCGAAATTGTGTACTGAAAGTATCAGGTTTTGTTACTTTTTTTAAACCCTTTTTTGTTACTCATGAGTAGGCAAATTTGATAGACGAAAACAAATTCGGATTGATGACTATTTATTATGAAAATAGCTGGATAAAGTGAAGAACAAAACAGTAATCTTTTTACAATTTCGGAATTTCAATGTACTTCTACTGTAGATATAATACCTTCCCACTGTACAGTCTTAGTTACAATTAAATTCAAAGTACCTGAATCAACCTGGCTTGGGTTTTTGTGTTCGGGTTAGTATAATTTATGTAGACAGTTAAGTACTATTCAATATAATTTTTTTATACTAAGGAAAGTTTGCATTCCAAATACCCTGGTTATGTGAGCTTTAGATATATTTGAGTAATGATGTATGGCGACTATGTTCTGCTATTTTCTTAGTTAGCCAGCATTTAATTTATAATGAGAGTGACTTGGTTCTTTGATACTGCTATTGTTGGTATCATCATCTATATTCTTCTGTTCTCTCTCCTGTTAATTTCTTTTGTGTTTTCTACGCCGATAACGAGCAAGTCTTCATCATTTCAATTGTATCTTCATGTGTTCTATACTTCAGAGAATTTCCTACTTGTAAACCATTAATTATGTAAAATTGCTAATGGTAATGACGGTAATCATAAGTTATTTGTGATTTCCATTCGTACAATTTTATACATATTGTTCACCTTAAGTATCTATGTTTGACCAATAAACGTAATTACAAACAATCAAATTTACTCATACAGTATCAAGAGTAGGGGATTAGGGTTTCGATTATGAATCAAGGTTAGGATAAAGAAAACAATGTAGCCACGTGGATGAGTACTTAGTCAGTTCTCTCATTACAAATCTCGAGAATGTTTAATTTACTTCGAAGAGGTTCATAAAGTGGGGTGTAGCCCCCTTAAGAAAACCACCTGCTTCGTTCTGAGCACCCGGGCAGTATCACAGCCCACATACAAATCAAGTGACTTGTGTGGCGCATATTTATTAGGTGCCCCTTTGTACCAATATTTATATGTTCAAATAAATAAATATATGTGTTGATGTTTCGGACTGTTCAGTCTCCTTTAGCATATGTGCATCCCGTGTAAATCCAGGTACACCCAGCTGATGAGTCCAAAACAACAGGCAACGTACTTCCTACTGTTACACACCATCCATCCCATGCATTCTATTTGTTTTCTAATATTCTTTTATGAAAAGATAATCACTTTTTTATGGTCATTTTTCTGATCGTTCAAGTTTGTTCTTATTCATTAGCCTCACTACATGTACCAATTTAAATCGTTTTCGTAACTAACTATTATCATGTTTTACTTCACTCTGCCTTTTACTTCTTGACAAAATTAATAAGATGAGTTCTTGGTTGTGTCATTCTCTTTTTTCTTTTTTTCTTTAGAATCCTGCTGTTTAGAAGCTATTCAACCAATTCTTGGTACTGAAGATTCTAATAATACTACAACACCTGCAGATAGTACTATACTTGGTGGATTAAATGTTACAGATATAACATTGCCAAAATTAAAAGATAATTTACAAGAGAAGTAAGCTTAATAAATGACAATAAACAGTTGATGATGTAATTCTTTCAATGAAAATTTCTACAAATTTCTATTTGACCGCCCCTAACTTTCTTCCAACCATCCGCAACAATAGTCAACATTGCGTGTCGTGGTAATCGGTGTTCAGGCACACACAACACGTGGCCCAACCATCTCAGTTGATGAACATTCACAACCTCATCAACTGATTTACCATCATTTCCTAATACCCTATGTCTAACCTCACTATTACTTACCCGGTGGTCCCAGCAGATGCGAGCAATATTTCTAAGGCATCTGTGGTCAAATACTAATAGCTTACGAATATCTTCAACTCTTAATGGCCACGTCTCGCAGCCGTAAAGTAAAACAGAACAAACTGGCGCACAGTATTCTCGTCCTTTTATTGATAAACGGACATCTCATCTTCGCCATAGAAAACTTTAATATTTAAGATTTTTATATTCATATTTCCTTTCAACTGCTTCGGTTCAGGAAGTTGAATAGTTTTACAATCCTTTAAACATAACATAAGTAATGACTTGTAGTTGGATAAATAAACTTGTTCTTGGTAAATAAGTTACTGGAATCTCATGGAATGATAGCATAGGGATTAACTCATACAACTGCTAATCATCGAACTACACATTAAAATCTTCTTAAATCTACCTTCATTTTAATCATCTCTCAGCCTGATTTTCTCTAGCCTGTTCTTCACGAGCTTTGGTTAGGCGTTGAAGTATTATTGAAGCTAATATTTTAGACACTATATTAGCCAAACTGATTCCTCTCTGATTGTCACAAGAGGACTTTTTTTCTTTCTTATAGGCTGGAACAATTAGTGATTGAGACCAGTCAGATGAGATTACATTCAGTTTCCAAATTCTACCTAAGACCTCAGTTAATCTCACTGCTAATACTGAACCACCATCCTTAAAAATCTCAGGAGTAAACCTGTTAGGGCCTGATGCTCTCCCTCGCTTCAGATTGCCTACAGCTTTTTCAACTTCATAAAGAGTCGGAGGACCTACATTAACTTGCCATTCAGGTTGACTGGAGATCGTGGGAAACCGAAGTATGGCTGAAGGCCGGTTGAACTTATCCCTGAAGTGTTCTGCCCATCGATCCAATCTCCTGGATTGAGAATGTATAATATGTCCATCTTTCTCTGAGATTGTTTCGCTAACAGAGACCCTGGATGACATGACTCAAAATCGTTTGCAATGGCGCAGGTGCATCCACTCTTTGTGTTCTCCCAAATTCTAATCTCCTGATTCCTCCTTGTCTCTCTTTTTTCTCTTCCCAAATTTATTTCACTGTATTATACTCTTTAAATAACATCTTCAAACCCTAATCTTTCCGATTACTGTTTAGACTCTTACCGCCTCTACCACTACGGGATTTGAATCGACCACTGCATCTCTATGCTAATGTGGTGTGGCAACTCGAACTGATGTACGTACGTACGAAGTTCTACGTTGTTACTGACTGACTGACTGACTGAATCATCTCTCATGCAAAGTGGATTGCTCAAGGCCAAGTTCATAAAACTCTACTTAACGATAAATAGGTTACGTTAATTTATATTTCCACTGATTAGGTGTACAGTTACATTGAAAGCCCTTAATACTGAAGTAGACATTCTTGTTTTCAAAAATTGTGTTGATACATTTTTATATCACACTAAAACAGTAGGTTTTATAAGAACTCTATTTATATCCAAACTTAATTTTAATAAAATAATTTATCCGCTGTATATCGTGTAAATTCAACATTATTTATTAATTTGTACTTGTAAACATTAGTACATATTAGTACCGAATACATATACACCACACAACAACGATGAGGCCAGTAACGGTTATAATTGGTTTATGTAAGGGCTATGATCCTGCCTCGGTGTTCAAAATGAAGCAGGTGGTTTCCCTAAAGGGCCACTCCCCGAGCCTTTGACCTAAAGGTCTGGTCCATAAGGCAGTGGAACAACGTTAGTAAATACAGTCCCATGGTAGGCGGTGACCAATAATAGGTTCATACATCTCTTGTTTCCTTAGAATCCTTATGTGCACCATTGGTTTGAAATCAGGGTTTTCTAACTCCCCTAGGTGGGTCCTCCATATCCACCAACCCGGTTAAGTGCCGGACATTCGCTTTTCGTTCTCTCAATTCCGTAAACAACATCATTGATAAGAGAAGGTAATGAGTAGGACTTTCCTGACAATGGCTGTATACACGTGACCATCTGAGAGCATTTCAAGCAGAGTGGACCTTCCCCATCCTCGACCGTACCAGTGCATTTAGGGGCCATAACTAACGATAATGTATAATTAAAAGATACTTAGTCTCCCAGGTTTAATTTTTAACTATTGAAAATAAAAAAAATTGGTAATATAAATCATGCAATCCATTAGTGATTGAGTAACGCTCTCGAAATCAGATTTAACGGTCTAAAATTCAATTACTTTTCGAATCGTTGCTGTGAATTTCTGTAGATCTTCAGAACAGTACAAAATAAGTTATCTATAATTCTGTTCATTTTTCCATGCTTCAATTAATTTGTCCATGTCTGACAAATAAGTAACTACATTTACTTACAAATTATTCAGTAGATTATTATTTTGAATAATTAGGTAGTGATTATGTTTTATCCAACTACTTAATAACGTATCTGAAACCTCACTGAAACACTCTGTTTTCCATTGGAAGTTGTTCAGCTACACAACAACATAAATACGGATAGGTATCTTCAGTAAGATTGAGTCACTGCACTCAAATCGATTCCTAATTGTTCATCGATATAATAAGTGCTTCATTAGTAATTGCATTTAATTGACCTTATACTAGAAAAATTATTTATTATTTATTTATTTATTTAAACACATAAACATTGGTACAAGGAGGCACCAAATACATATGCGCTACATAGATCATTCGATTTGTGTGAGGGCTGTGATACTGCCCGGGTGCCCAGATCGAAGCAGGTGGTTTTCCTAGGGGGCCATACCCTGAGCCTTTGACCTAAAGGTCTAACCCACAAGGCAGTGGAGCATCGTGGGGAGATGCAGTCCCATGGTAGCCGGTGACCAACAATTGGTTCATATGCCATTTGTTCCCTCAGGATACTCGAGCCCATATGCTCCATTGGTTTGGAATCCAGTTAAAGCGCCGGACATTCGCTTTTCGTCCTCTGAATTTCGTAAACAACAGTAATGCCACGAGAAGTCAGTGAGTAGGACTTCCCTGGCAGAGGCTGTATACGCGTGGCCGTGTGAGAGTATTTCAAGAGGGAGGGCGGGTCCACTTTACCCTCGGCCATACCAGGGCATTTGGGGGCCTAGAAAAATTAATACCAATTGATTAACTAAAGAAATTTATTGTCGTTCATCGTCTTATTTAATTAATTATTGTTATCATAGAATCATTAAAGGGGTTGGTAGTTTTTAGTAATAATGTATCCTACTATTTAACTGTTTATTATTATTATTATTATTAGATACAATAAGTTGAATGAATCACTAACGAAGCATAAAACATCATTAGAAGAGGCGAAACGTGATTTAGAACGTGGCAAGATAATAATTGCAGATGCTCGTGAAAAACTTCCTAACTTAGCAAAACAATTTATGTTCTATCAAGAAATGAAAGATTATATTGATGATTTAATATCTTGTTTTAATGAAAAGGTAGGTTAGTATTGTTATTTTCTCATCCATACTGAATTATGTCAAATAGTATTGGAATGATGTATAGATCAAGTTATTTTGTATTGTAAAGCATTATTAATGTTTATTAGCGATAGTGATTAGGTGTGGAGTTTGAGTGTACATATCTCTTTCCTTCCAAATATTGGCGTTCCATTTGATGACAACCCTCAGAATTGTATGATATACTTACTGTCTATTTGTTAATCCAGTTGGAAATGAATTGGATTATCCCGTTGTTTATATTTTGACTGAAATTTGACCAATCTTGGTTAGCATCCGAACTCAGTAGCTAAGTGGATAACTCCGGTTTTTGCATTGAATGGTACTGGGTTGGAGTCCCGTAGTAAGTATTAACTGCGTAATCCAGGTGCACCCAGCTGACAAGTCTTAAACAAGATAAAATACTCTTTCTGGATCTCACCACTAGCCACCTTCCATCCTGCGTGTCTATTGGTTGTCCGAATGAACATCTTAGTATTCACTTATTAAATACGCTTTCTGAAATGCAGATTAAAATCTTACTGAAGCAAACAAACTGACTACTTCAATTGAATGACATTTAAAAAAAACTATATTACATTCATGTAAAATCTGAACGTTATCAGATCTTTACATTGATCCATTTAATTAAGCTAACTTATACAATCAAACAATCGAGTAGGTAGTTCTGAGTTTTTAAACTTGGAACATTTTAGCAATCCTAAATCACTTGATAAGACTATGAACCTTTATCTAATGTGAGCTAATCATTTTATGTTTCATGCTCATCCTGACTAGCTAAATGTTAGGTTGGGAATAAAATTAAGGGCGTTTAAATTATGGCATTAAATTTACCATTCCATAAAGGCATTAACTATTGAACTGAACTTTGCACATTTCTGGTTTGTTGCGCATGATAACTGGTATGTAGTTGGTTTACGTAGTCTGGAATTGTTTGAAGTGGCTTAGTTATATTCATTCTTACTCTTTCATACTTTCCACTTCTGACTTTTATTCTCACATGTTAAGATTTCCAGTTCAATAGATTTTCGTTTCTTCATGTTTCTCATTATGCGAATGTATAATGTAAAAAATTCACTCGTCTTACATTTGTGTCAAGTTCTATGTTGTTTCAAACTCACGGGATTATCACAGTATAATCACTTAGTTAGCAGTTGTACGTCGAAAAACTTATTTATAACGATCCCGTAGAATATTTTTTTTAATAATCTGCATCATGGATTGACCCTATTTAGACAACCGTTGAATAGCGGGAAGCACTGAACAGTTTTTTCGTCGTAGCGTGGTAGTAGTAGTAGTAGTGTAACGGAAAGTGAACGATTAAAATTCCTCCGCAGCTTTTATGTTGGACAGTACTGCCATTTATTTGTTTCCTCTCCCTGTCGTGTATTTTAACCTTTGTTCAGATCTCGTTTAACCACACCTTTTGTTCTTCAGTCTTCCTCGTCTGAGCTTTTATTATGTAATTTTGATTAAAAACTTATTTTTTGTTACCTAATTTTCTACTGCACGTTGCCGGACTATTGAAAGTAAGGTTGTATTTGACTAAGCTCAAGGTCGCGGCGTGGTTCAGTGTGTGTCTGTTAACCTTTTGACTGTCTGCTTAGGAGGATTGCTAGAATCCCTGCAGATAGATATTTGATTCCATCTTGTTGGGAATATTTTTTATTGATTCTCAGCGCGCTAATTTGCGTTAGAGAAACTTTTGACTGTATAGCACAGGCTGTACCGTTTGAGAACTGTAACGACCGAACTGCCAGTATTCGGTTTGAACGCAGAACTGACAAACCAAAATTTATTCGAATAGACCAGACTACGTTCTTTTGTATAGCGTACGAAGCGTTTTTGAGATACTCGTTTAAATTGAGCACAGAGTTTGTGTTTTGATATAATTTAATACGAGTATCTCAAAAACGTTTCGTACGCGATACAGAAGAACGTAGTCTGGCCTATTCGAATAAATTTTGGTTCGTCAGTTCTGCGTTCAAACCGAATACTGGCAGTTCGGTCGTTACAAGTAGTTACGCATCCACTACTTTACCGAGGCTTCAGTCCAAGTTCAGATCTGTAGACAAGCGCCTAGTCTTTAGACCAGTGAGTTGAGAAATCATTTCGCGACATTGGACAACTATTTTCCAATGGTATTTGGGAGTAAATACTTCTTATCATTTGGCTGAATCCCACAGGTCATAGTTTCTTATTAGAACTCCGAGAGCTACCATTCCAAATGAGTCATTATAGTGTATATATTTACACCTAAAAAATATTCTGATCTATACAAAATTTTTTTGGAAACATTTTATAACAATATTTCAACAGATGTCAAAAATAGAATATCTAGAGAAACGTTCTATTATAATATTTCGTGAACGCTATGACAAATTAGTTGAACGTCGACGTATGGATATGAAAGATATGGCGGATACAGTATCTCAGCGTAAGTTACATTGACCTTTGTAATATGACTACATTATTGTATAATTATGTTCCTTATAATCTATATATCTTACTTGAAAATTTGAAGATAACTATATAGTTTATTATCAGAAGGCGTTTGTGGAGATTTTAGAAATTTCACAGATTGAAATCATAAGTTAATTAAAGCTAGACCACCATAGAAAACCTGGAAAAACTGGATGGCCGTTTCGTCGTAGCACGGGAGTCCTCAGCAGTGCGCATCCACGATCCTGCACCCCGCGAGATCCGAACCCAGGACCTACCAGTCTCGCACCAGGCGCTTAACCAACTAGATCACCGAGCTGGCATCCAATGGTGTTAATGTCTAACTTCAACCAATTCACGAAGTTGCGCCACCATACACCATTGTCTTCAGTGAGCTGATATCTCACAACAGACCTGGTTGAACTTCACTGGTTAGTGCTTCTCACTAGAACTCCAGGAGTAACTCTTGAAGTCAGTCACTAGTGAGCAGATGATTATTATCAGGAGGGGATTGTGGAGATTTTAGAAATCTCACAGATTGAAATCATGAGTCCCATACTAGGACGAGACGGCCGTCCAGTGCTTCCAGGTTTTCCATGGTGATCTAGCTTCAATTGACTCATGATTTCAATCTATATAGTTTATTGTTTATGTTCTTGACTTATTTACTGATGACACATAAATCTTAACACAATAAAACATTGAAAATTATTCCACACTAATAGAGTTATAATATTGTGAAGAAATGCAGTCGAAAAAGACCGTACAATGAATAAATAAACGAACATGAATGATATTTAAAATGAGTTATAGTTCAATTGAAAGTACAGTTGGAAAAGATTAAGCAAGTTTATTTCAATTTATAAAGAGTGTGACAGAAGATTATGGCAAGATCGCCACTGGCTTCTCTGAACTAGTCCTATACAGGTATTTTTCATACTAAGGCGCCATGTCATAAACCGACCACTTCTCCGCTTTTTTCATTCAGTCTCAACACTAGCCAATAATGCGTAGTTTGAAAGCTCCCAAGATTACATTCGTAATATATAAACAAGCGATCCAAGTCAGTGTTTCGATACGTTTTCATAAGTATCAATTAGCTGGTTGGATTTCCAAGATTTGCTTTCACAACTTAGATTAAACTGTTAGCCTGTCAATATAAGTAACTCATCTTTTCTGGTCTATATCAAAAAGAAAATTAATTTAAAGAGTTCATTAAAAACAGGAGCATTGTGTAGCTAGTCTTTACAACCTTTTTGGATTCTTTAAAGGCATCTGTTAATCAGAATATATCTTTATTAATCTAAACTATTATAGCAAGTTATTCTGTGAATCCATGATCGGATTGAAATCATAGATACAACATTATTTAAAATGAGAAGCTTACTGAATACTAATTATATCACTTGATTTATAGGAAACAGCTTGAAGGTATCTTAAATCATGAATTGTAATCGAGGGTACCGTTATGAATAACTGTTTTGTCCCGGTTTATGACTTCTCATCAATGTGCGCAACCACGACCCCAATCGAGATCAAACCTATGGTTGTCAGGTCTCGTGACGTACGTATCTCGTAGTTCACTTTTCCAAATCAATTCAATCTCCAACATTCCACAATTATCATTATTCAATATATCTTATAATACCTATGTTACTTCCGATATAGTTGATCTCCACTTTCACGATAACTTTGGGGAATATAATTATGTTCCCGATAGTAGTAACTAACTTCGGCAAAAATTGTTAGTGTCAATGAGAAGCTATCACTTGTGGATACAATCCACCCAGATGACGACTGAAAATCAAATAGTCAATAGTAAATTTATATGTGCGACACTAAAGATAGGTTATTAGAATAACAATTATTATACTTAAATACATTTACATGACCCATAAATCGACTAAGTGAAATATCTTTAGTGTCTGTAAAAATTCAAGTCATCTTTGTATGTGGGATTTAAGTTGTCAATTAATAATAGTTTAAATGATTTAATCAATCCTAACAAACCAACATATCAAATGTATTCGTTTCTGAGTGAGATCATGAACCTTTGGAAACCTGGAAGCACTGGACGGCCCTTTCGTCCTATTGTGGGACTCCTTAGCATCCCGCGAGCGGGATATGCTCCACAACCCCTATACATGTATTCGTTTCGTCTAATTCATTTCTACATTTTTTTTAGATTTTCTAAATCAATGACATATTTCTATCTAAAATCATCTTCAACTCATAAATACTTGTCTTTATTTCTTAAATATTTGTTTCCGTGTTCAATGAATTCAAGAATAAATAATTATCTTTTATTTTATTCCCAATATATGCTTCGTGTCATTTCTCATTTAGCAACTATATCATCTACATGTACACCTAGAACACCTGAAGAAGTAAAAATTTTTGAAGCCAGACGTAAAAGATGTGCTGAACGAGAATCCCGACGGTAAGAATATTTAATAAGCGTTAAAAGTATATGTGATAAGTTGTTTTTTTAAATATTTTTTTATTCAGTATTTTATCCCTATTATAAATAAATATGATGTCGTCTACGGTTATTAAAGTAGAGTTGTTCGTTTTATAGTTACATAAATGATGTGAACCCATTGTAACCCAAATAAATGCCTTGATACGGCCACATGTATATAGCAACTACCAGGGAAGTTCTACTCACTGTCTTCTCGCGGCGGATTTGTTGTTTGCAAAATCGAAAGGACAAGAATAAAATATTTGATGCTTAAAGCTGGTTGGTGGGTACGTCAAATCTACCTAGAGGAGTTAGAAAACCCTGACTCCAAATCAGTGGTGTACATGGGCTCCAGGATCATAAGGGAACAAATGGGGTATGAACCTATTGTTGGTCAGCGGCTGTCATAAGACCTCATCTCTTGACGTTGCTCCACTGCCTTGTGGATTAGACCTTTAAATCAAAGGTTCGAAGACGGGTTTCCTAAGTATACCACCTGTTTCGGTCTGGGCACCCAGGGAATGTCCCTTCTCGCATACAATTTGAATGATAACTACTTTGTGTGTCGCATATATATTTTGGGGCCCACATAAACCAACGTTAAACAATAATAATGACAATGTATGACAACATTCTTACAATTCTTCATGCACTAATATAGTCAACACCAGAAAAATCTTTACCTTTATCAAAGATTTTATTTTAAGGACAAAAGGTAATGATATTGTACAGCTGGTCTGTAAATATAACTGCTAATTAATTTTGAGAAATAGAAGAACAGTTAAAGTAACCAATGGGAGAGAGAAGGTTGAGAAGTAAGAATTCAACTTAAATAATTATTCTTTATGTTTGCATTCAATTTACATTTACGTACATTTTTTCTATCTATTCAAATAGAATACGGCGTCAACGTGCTAGAGAATTACAAAATCCTAATGTCATACAAGTTCACGTTGATGGAACTAGTACGGATGATGAAGAACCACAGGCTACAATTGTTAAACGTTCAGCTGATATAGGTTTGTATTTTATTTGATGTGCTTTTTTTTTCTGTTTGTTAAACATTATTATTTACAATCAGATAAGTGGTTTGAATTCAATCCTTCGGTCAAAAGTTTCAAAGATTTAAATCTACTCTTCTTGATAGCTTCCATCAGTATATGAACACAAAATGCTTCCAGGTTTTCCATGGTGGTCTAGCTTCAATTGACTCATGATTTCAATCTGTGAAATTTGTAAAACCTCCACAATCCCCTTCTGATAATAATCATCTGCTCACTAGTGACTGATTTCAAGAGTTACTCCTGGAGTTCTAGTGAGAAGCCGTTACCAGTGGAGTACAACCAGGTCTGTTGTGAGATATCAACTCGCTGTAAACAATGGTGTACGGTGGTGCAACTTTGTGGATTGGTTGAAGTTAGACATTAACACCATTGGATGCCGGCCGGCTCAGTGGTCTAGTTGGCGCGAGACTGATAGGTCCTGGGTTCGAGTGGTGCGGGATCGTGGATGCGCACTGCTGAGGACTCCCGTGCTACGACGAAACGGCCATCCAGTTTTTCCAGGTTTTCTATAATGGTCTAGCTTCAATTGACTCATGATTTCAATGTGTGAAATTTCTGATATCTCCACAAACCCCTTCTGACAAAATGAATAGCTAAAAATCCCTTAATAAATTATAGAATACAGCTTAAACTACTTAAGAGCAGCTGTGTCTTACTAATAACACCCCGTGACTAAGATTTAGAAGTAGTTGTGATGGACTAGAAAATCTTCATTGACCAAATAACAATCCTACTGTCAGATAATAATATGTTCTATAAACATATCGATGAAAAAAACACAAAACGACCCTGGATTTGAATCTCGCGAGGCAGTATCGTGGATACACACTGTTGAGAAATCACACAATAGGACGAAACGTCCGTCCAGTGCTTCCAAGTTTTCCACGGTGGTCTAATTTCAATTGACTCATGATCTCAATTATTAACAGAACTGAACTAATCAAAAAGCAACAAATCTCAGTACATAAGAAAATAAAAATAAGCGTCATCTAAGTCACAAAGATATTTACAAGTGTATTGAACCACCAAGATCAATTGTACAGTTTTGAAAATGATTTCTCCGTAAATAGAATTCATCATTGAACCTATAAATAAATTAAATTCACTTGGTGTTGTTTTACTTGTATCTTCGCATTGTTATTTAGGACTGCAATTAGTCAGTCTCATATTGGCATATGTGCATCCTGTGCGAATTGCCTCGATATAGCTTTAAGTCACAAGCATTATAAAGCAAAGATGGTCAGTGACTAGTAGTGGAATCCAGTTTGATGTGCGTTTCGTCCTATAGGACGAAAGCGAACGGCACTGGGTTGGAGTCCTAGAGTAAACATCAACTGTGAGATGCAGATATATCCAGCTGACAAGTCCCAAATAGGACCATACGCGCGTCCTGAATTCCACTGCTAGCCACTATATCCATCTTTGCTATAAATAAATTGTTTAAAACATTTTCCCATTCTTTCATGTGTATGGTACTTCATCATTCTACATTGACACATATCAAACGTAATTTTGATCAAAATATTTCTAATATAAAGTATGTAGCGCAACTTTGTTCCTTCTCAATAATTCATACTAATGCATAAATCAATTTGGCTTTTTGAACTCAGTAGTTTGTCAGATGAAACACTTGTCATGGATTCCAGTACCAGTTACTATTCAACTCTATTTATAAAAGGTTGTGTACTGTTCGTTGAAAATTAATTGAAAGTACTTCACTATATCTATATATTGTACTTGTTAATTATCCTAACAAGATTATTATTTAAATAATCCTAATCTTTTTCGTGTGTGTGTATTCCAAATAATTCCACCCTGTCGTTGTCAGATGCTTTACTAGTAGATGCAAATGCTTTATTCGAAGATGTTGTTGAAGAATTTTGTGAATTACCATTAATCCTTGAAAGATTTATAGAATGGCGTAATAAATATCCTGAATCATATCAACAAGCTTATGTATCATTGTGTTTACCACAATTATTTAGTCCTATAATACGAATTCAATTAATCGGTTGGAATCCTTTAAGTGTAAGTTACTTTTCTTTCTTTGTATTTGTCTTTTGTCTTAAAAAATGTTTTGAGTGTTTAAACCTCTTCCCAAATCACTTAAATATATGTTATTTGTTGGGGGCCGTTTAGAATTACTGGGGGGAGTCTTTAAAAACGAGGAGAAGATCTAAGTTGCTTTGTTGGATTGGCGTTCAATAGAAACATTTCATAAATTTTTAGAACATAGCTCAGTAAGCAAAGATAGATAGTGGCTAGCAGTGAAATCTAGGACGCGCGTTTCGTCCTATTTGGGACTCGTCAGCCGGATGTACCTGCAGCTGAGTTGATGTTCACTCTGGGACTCGAACTCAGTACCATTCACTTCAAACGCCATCGCGTTATGCACTCAGCTACTGAGTCCTGATAGCCACATGCTTGTCCAATGGGGTGAATTTAAATTCACTTGATATCGTTTGGTTTGTATCTTCCCATTGAGGTTTAAGACTGCAATTTATAGCTCAGGTAGATGATTTCAGTGGAGTTTTGTTCTTCAGGTAGAAGTTTGTGCTGATAATGTCGTTCGGAATAATAATGAAATCTCCACGACCAAACCATCCAGCTCAATGTACAAAACCCCGTCAGAATCCTAGAAGAACCACGGATTTTGCGTTTTACCCTGATTTAATATTTATCAATTTCGTTACTAGTTTTAGAATGCTTCCAAATGATTATGTAAATATCTGTAGCTTTAAAATAGATTCTGTCTTATATGTGTAAATGAAGTTCATCGTATATCAGTTTCTCTTTTGAAGCTAATAATAAATATATGTAGTGTGATTTGAACAATTCCCTGATCGTACATTGCATTAATAATATGCCTAATGGCTGAGTAAAATCATACACTTACTGTTGTTCTGTATCGTTCATAATGTAAGTCGTCACTTACAATATTTTTATAAAAGTGAATGATACTTCTACTATGATGTATGCTACTTATACTGACAGATATAAGTATTACGTAGCAGTACTCAGAAATGGAATGTCTACTAGCAGAAGATTGAAATGAAGAGAACAGGAAGGAAATTGGGGAGCAATAAAAATAACAACAGAATTGGATGAATAATGGAGCATGTAAAGGACAACACAAAGCTGTGCAAATGATGTATTTAATGTATGATTTTCATATTTTACTAAGCCACTGTGTAATTTTGCATTAAACAATAAATTGGTTTTCCTTACTTGACTTTTCGTTCACTACACTACTACTTTGTTCCTCCAAATTAAAGTAAACAACTTCAATTTTAAACATACTATCTATTGGCGAAAGCTAATTGGCTTACATCATTAATATAAGCCTAATAAGTGTTACATCAAAAAGTACAAGCATTTGTAAACAATTGTCTACTCAAGATACCTAATATCCGTTGGTCGGATAACATCAACAACGGCCTACTGAGGGAGAGAACAAACAATTTTCCAACTGAAGAGGAAATTAGGAAAAGACGTTGGAAGTGGATAGGATGTATATTACGGAATTCATCAAATTGCATCACGATGCAAGCTCTGACTTGGAATCCTGAAGAGGAACGAAAAAGAGGAAGGCCAAAAAAACACAATACGTCAGGAATTGGAAGCAAACATGTAAAGGATAAATAGCAACTGAAAGCAACTCAAAAGGATTGCTCAGGACAGAGTTGGATGGAGAATGCTGGTAGGTGGCCTATGAGCATAGGCCTTCACGAGGGGCAACAGGCGTAAGTAAGTAAGAAGAGTTTAAATTATCCCATTGATAATATTCTTGAATAATGTATACATCTTACCAGTTGAACAAGTTAGTAGTTACTGGGACTTAGCATCTTGGCGTAATAACTCATTGGGTATTCTGAACAAAAAGTACAATAAATCCGAGTCCCAGTGTTTACATCAACACTGAGATGTAGGTTTATCCAGCTGACAAATCTCACATAGGACGAAACACGCCTCTTGAATTCCAATGCTAGCTACAATCCATCTATTTGTTGAAATTTCGATTTCATTATTGCCTTAATCCATGTAAAACTGTTCTTTTTCTTTCTTCATAATCTCAGAATCATGCTGATCCGATTGAAGAAATGAAATGGTTTCAAGATTTGTTAGACTTCTGTAACCTTCCATCAGTTGACAATAATAAAAATACAAAGTCGACTATTTTAAATAGTAATAAAACTGATAAAAGCAATAATAATAATAATAATGAAAATAAAAATGCCAGTAATAATAATAATAATAACTTGGATAAAAATGCTGGTAATCTTGATGATGATCTTCGTATAATACCAAAGTCAATTGAAAAGATTGTTTTACAACGAATAAATGGTAAATTGTTATTTTACTTATGATATATGTTTTTCATAATTCTAATTGAATGTAAGTCAACGGGCTGAGTGGCTAAAGCGTTCGGATTACCAGCCATTCGATTACAGATCCGAATACTGTTTCATTTCGGTTTAATCAAATGTAGACAGTTATAGACAGTTCATCATTTGTGTATGGGCTGTGATACTGCCCGGGTTCCCAGACCGACGCAGGTGGTGGTTATCTTAGGGGGCCACACCCCGAGCCTTTGACCTAAAGATCTGACCCATAAGGCAGTGGAGCATCGTAAGGAGATGCAGTCCCATGGTAGCCGGTGACCGAAAATTAGTTCATACGCCATTTGTTCCCGCAGGATACTGGAGCCCATGTGCACCATTGACTTGGTTTGGGGTCCGGTTAAAGCGCCGGACATTCGCTTTTCGTCCTCTCAACAACACCCCGCCACGAGAAACCAGTTTAATCAAATGTGTGTGGCACATATATATTTGGCCACTCTTGTACCAATATTTATGTGTTCAAATAAATAAATAAACAAAATTATCAAATGGCAAATGAATTTCAGAAAATAAAATATTCAAAATAAATTGTCCTGCAGATACCAACGTTTCACCATCAACTTGACCATCTTTAATAAATTGGTTTCATGTAGATTTTGTTGTCTTTTTAGACAGTATTATCAATACTAGCTTAGGAAATGGCAAGCTACTAATGCCTTTCGAGAAATGACTAACAGTTACTTCCGTCGATTTCAAATATGACTAATTGATTACTGGCGTTTACCTGTCGTTATTGTTTGCGCATTTATTTTGGTTTCCTTCATCTCTGATCGGATTCTTGATCTTATGATGGTTTTTCATTTCATCATTTACTGAACAATTGAATCTATTTGTCAAGATCTTTATCGCTTGCTAAGTACCCTGATTGTTAATTTTTTATGATCTTTCTAGTCTTTATATTGCTTGTTTTGAACACCCTTCAAAGTTACGAGTTTCCTCTTCTTGAATTTTTGCTCATCAGTTATCATCAATCTAGAATCCTGTACAGATATACATCGATCCAAGTTCCCCATACCTATCACATTAACACAACGTGAGAGGAGACTGGTAAGATGCATAGCAGATTTTTATCACTGATAGTAAACAAATGACTAGACATTAATAATATGGTTCGAAAAGAAGAAATTAATTAGAGAAGTAAAAACTATAGAGTTATATTAGATCTAGGAGATTTCGCTGAAGAATGAATCTACGTCACTGCTATATATTCTAGATCATGTCAACTAAAGTCTCCAAGTATTCATCACGATTATGATATATTAGTCAGTGAGTAATCGATTCAAATCATTTTGATCCACACAAAACTGTGTGATCAAGCTTATTTCTTTCAAAATTTTATTCCACATGATGGTTTGATTAAAAACTTCATCTACATGTTATCCATATGAGTAATTAACAGGTGCTCACAACGATCCATAATATACTGTCCTAGAAATTTTACTGCTACTTCAGTCGTCCGACAGTGTGTATTACAGTAATCAAATTATATTTAGCCTATCAAAACAACTTTACCCAAAGATAATACTACACTGTTATTGAAGACAATTAGTTGCTTTCCTTAGCATTAAAATTCAGTGCTAATTCCTAGATTTAAGAATATTTCCACTGCCTATTAGTTTCACTGGAATAACTCCTCCAAAGTCAAACTATCTTTGCTTGGGAATATACATATATATCTCGAGCATTAACCGTGCATAATTAAATGTATTGATTGTGGTACAATGCTTTTTGTCAATCGTTTTTCTTTCCATAGAACTAGTCTGCGCTTCATGGGATCCTTTATCAGAGAAACAATCTTTACAACTTGTCAATTTAATGCATAATTTATGCTCAACTTATCCAACGATTTGTATTGGTAGTCGTCCAACAGAAAAATTATTCACTTCCATTGTTAAACGTATTGAAAATACAATACAAGAAGATATTTTCATACCACTCTATTCAAAAACGTAAGCATTATTATTATTACTGTTGTTATTATTATTATTATTATTATTATTAATGACGTTGTAGTGAACACGAACACCAATGGGGACAATCGAATGTATTCGACACAAAATTACAGAAGTTGTTAATAAAATCTAACAATCATATAGTAAATGCTTAATTTGCAAAATGATCACCAATTATCCCAAAATGGCCCAGACTTCATTGTTCATGTTCGTTCAAAATCCGACATCCACCCGGCACCTGGGACGTTTAACACCCGCGCTCCACTGGCCCGCTGAGCCATCTACATCCGATGTTCGCCCAGCAGCCGTACGTCCCACCGCTCACTCTCCGTCGACAGCACCTGCTGCAGCCGACGCCACCCCGTCAGAACACTCCACTCGACGCCACCTCTCCGCACCAGACTGCCCCAACTAGCACCTCAGCTCCAGGACCACAACGGCATCGGCAGAACAGCACCCTCCCTCTCCTGGTTGGCAGCGACATTAAATGTGGCAAACGAGAAGACGAATGGAGACAGTCGAATGTGATTAACATAAAATTACAGAACTTGTTAATAAAATCTAGCAACCATATAGTAAATGCTTAATTTGCAAAATGATCACCAATTGTCCCAAAATGGCTCGGACTTGGTTGTTCTTGTATTGTCATACAAATTGCATTCTGTTTCCATTCTTTACTGTTCGATCCTCTTGTCTCTCTGTTGCCAGGCCTTCTGTTCAGGACATCATATACTACTTATGTCAATATAAGTATCACACACCACGTTTGTTTAGGGAGTTAACTTGATATCGTGATGATATTTGGAGCGAACGGTACTGAGTTCAAATCTTAGAGTGTGAATATCAACACTGGAATGCAGGCACATCTAGATGACGAATCCCAAACAACATGAAACACCTGTTCTGGATTCTACGGCTAACCATCATCTATCCCTGCTTATAGTGCTTGTCACATAATAACAATATAGGAAAAATCCGCACAGGATCTCCATATGCCTAAAAGACTGAAGAACTGCGATTTTAAAGATTAATGGGAAGACTATTCACAAACCAATACATATATGCGGAAGTATTTATCGGGTTTTTGCGTTGATATCATCCGGTAATGGTAGTAGCAGTGTAGTGAACGAGAACTCAGGTGGAGACAACAAAATTAGAGTTCCTTCATGAATTTTGCAAACCATACATTAAATATTTCATTTACAAATTCTTCATCAATTGTCTTAATATTCATCGTTCCTTCATAGCTATTACAATTACTCTCTGTCCCCATTCTCTTTGATTCGATCTTCCCAACCTTTGCTTCCAGGTGTTCCACTTCTGATTGGTGTTACATACTACTTATGCTTGTCGACATAAGTAGCATACACCACAATAGTATTGTTAGTAGTAATAATTGTTGTAATGTAATGTACATCATAGGAATGTGAGTAGTATGACAATTATGCCTATTATCGTCGAAATTTTTTATCATTCAATTATTAAGTGTTAATTAAATCAACATTCTGGAAATCTCCTACTCTCTCTCTCCCTTCATTTCTCTTTGAATAGTTGTCTTTTTGTTGTTGTTGTTTTGATAAACAATTTGAAGACATGATATTATTACAAACTAATTTCTTTTGTTCTATTATGCAAATTGCTACATATCAGTAAACAAATAAGTAAATAAACGAAACACAATGATAACAAGTGTATTGTAGGAGAATGTATCAGAAAAATATTGTCATTTAATAATGTTCAGAAGGGGTTTGTGGAGAGTTTAGAAATTTCACTGATTGAAATCATGAGTCAATTGAAGCTAGACCACCATGGAAAACTTGCAAGTACTGGACGGCCGTCTCATCCTAGTATGGGACTCCTCAGCAGTGCGCGTTTACGATCCCGCACCCCGCGAGGTTTGAACCCAGGACCTACGAGTCTCGCACCAGGCGCTTAACTAACTAGACCACTGAGCTGGCATCCAACAGTGTCTAACCTCAAACAATCCACGAAGTTACGCCACCGTATACCATTGTCTTCAGTGAGTTGATATCTCACAACAGACCTGGTTGTATGCCAGCTCAGTGGTCTGGTTGGTTAAACGCTTGGCGCGAGACCGATAGGTTCTGGGTTCGAATCTCGCGGAGTGCGGGATCGTGGGTGCGCACTGCTGAGGAAACCCATACTAGGACGAGAGGGCCGTCTAGTGCTTCTAAGTTTTCCATAGTAGTCTAGATTCAATTGACTCATGATTTCAATCTGTGAAATTTATTAATGTTGTTTTTTTCTTCTTGTGTTCTATATGGTTATCTATATGTGTAGAAGTTGTGTAAAGTGAATGTGTATAGTACTTGATAAGTAATTTACAATATTACATAATATTCTTACATCAATCATTGATTCTAAGTTGTATTTTTGATTTCATCAGTCAGTCACGTAGTTATTCATAACGTAGAATCTGTACTTATGTACAATGCTTCAAGTTACAACCAATCTTCGTTCTTGCTCTCTTTAAAATAATCCATTAGTACAGAGAGATGATATTTTCGATTAAAATACCTAGTTTCATTTACAACAAATGATTACTGTTAGTATGAAAATGAATTGTTTCAGTAATGAAATAATATCACTTTTAAAACCTTTACAGTTTTATAGTTTCATTGTTTAAAGTACTCATCTTTCATTCAATAGATACATAATCAAACACCATTCCACCTACTTCGAGATATGTTATTTGACAAACAACTTGTATACATGGGTCTTTATGAGCAGATGAAGTATATGCGCATCATATCAGTCGATGAAAATAACTTCTCATCTACACAGATTTGTGTTTGATATCTTTAATTAACTCATTCATTAGGGACTTGTGTATGAGCTACACTTGAAGTGTAACGGCTGTTGATACTATTCAGGTGACCGAAATTGCGTAGGTAGAACAGAATTTAAATCCTAATCATTAAACTACACCTCCATAATTCAGTGTAGAGTAGCTGCAATCAGCTGTTTAGAATGCCTTCCATAGTTCGTTGTCACATCTCATGTTGCTGAAAGTTACTTGTGTGTTTTTTCTTTGCGTTGCCTTTTATTACAGTCTAATGCAACATCGTCAAGGTCCAGCTTTCATATTCTTCGAACGTCAATTTAACATGGGATTAAAGGTGATACGCTTATTTTTATTGTCTAATTTCATAATCAATATCTTTGTATTAAAATATTTTCTGTTGGAAAATTGTACAGGAACTTTTAAAACAGTTAATCATCACTATGATATGATATCAACGTTCCGATCCATTTAGATGTTTATATCAAGACCTAAATTTAGTTATGTAGCCATTGGAAAGCAAAGAACTGAGCTTCCGTTTCTTACTACTATAGAGCACTCCTATAATCCAGATCTTAGGTTTCGGTACCTAATCTCTGTGCAAAAGTTTATCGTGGGAAACGTTGGCTACAACCAGGTTAGTCATTTACCATCGAAGCTTAAATTCGTGCTCAACTAATAGAGGTTAGTACTGACAGTGATGTAGGTTCCATCGTTCACATAGGGGTACACCAGTTCTCTTAAATAGTTAAAAACACACTTTACTGACGAGAGACAGCTAGAGCAAAATATTCGGACTTGTGTGGCCATATTGATCAATACTGAACGACTAAACGATATGATATTGGATGTTTGTATTGGTGTAGCATACATTATATTGAAATTAATTATCCTTAACGTATTACCATCCTATTGACTGGATCAAGTTTAAACTTGTTTCTAAATTTGGTTTCTTTATCTTCTACGTAGAATATTAATTAACACTGACAACTGTCTGCCGTTCTGATAAACAGCCAGCTTGACACTGATGTGCGCTGGCTCATTCTGACACAACCTATTACCACGACAAGGTAAAAATAACGAAAGAACATTAAAGTAATATACTAGCAGTGATAAAAAAAGAGAGACTGAACGGTAGAAATCTGATTTAAAATGTCAATGGGAAGGTATGTCTGACAGAGTGTCGAAATTCAAGATCAAAGGGAGAAATAAACAATGAATGCATGTACATAACTGAGAATGACTCTTATGTATGTCGTTTAAATATCTTTGACTTGTTTTGGCAGTTATCATGCAAATCCCAACTAGATAGTTCACATTTACATCTACATGGCTTAGTTCAATATTCAGTGATTACATGAATGAATACGACGTTTTAGTTTGACTTCCCCTAACAATAAATTCATCAAACAAATTATATTTAGAGAGTCATACATTAAGATTGATGATCATAATGTACGTGAGATTCGGTTTACTTGCTTACTTACTTACTTACTTTTTTGTACATACACGTATTACCCCCTTGTAGAGGAGCATAGGCGGCCGCCCACAAGAATTTTCCATTGAACTTTCATTCACATTCTCCTTTTTATAATTCATTTTAAAGTAACATTTTCATTGGAATTAAAGTGTTACATTTCATTCTATTCATTTTTTTCTTCCAGCTCTTAAAAATATTCTACTATGGTCAAATCTATTGAGTATAGATACATTAAAACATATTACTCTTACTTGTTTAATAAATCGTTATCTTTTAGTTGGATTAGCTTGTTTATTATCAGTTGTTACACTTAAATCAAATGATGATAAATCTAATCTCATAATGAATTCATCATTTCCAACTGGATTATCATCAATTGATCAATCAGGTTCATTAGCTTTTCGTGATGCTGTACAAAAATTAAAAATAATAGTTGATTTATTACCTCATGAATGGTTGAAATCATCAAGTCCTTCAGTAAAACAAGATGATGATGATGATAATAATAATAATAAGGATGATGATGATGATGAATCTTCAAGAAAAGTTTCATTCACTGGAGTTTCAGATCCACTTAATCAAATTAAAAGATTTTTAACACAATTATTAGAAAATATACCACCGACTCGAATGTATTCAGATATTACTGTTGGTCAAGCAGATATTCAAATCATTGAACGGTATGTGAAGGAATTCCTGAGTTTTTTAAATTCTTAATATGAAATTAGTAATTGTTACTTTACTTACTCTCAATGGAGCATAGGTCGCCGTTTTTTGTTGTCGGAGAGTTAGTTTTCTACGAGATGAGGTTGCTAACCCCCATGCCCAACCCCCCTCCTCTATCCGGGTTTGGGACCGGCAATGGCCCGAGAGGAGGGCTCCACGCGGAGTTATTAAATTAGTAATGATAATGCTAAATGAAAATTTTAAATAATGTTTTGTTCGTATCATATATATGCTATTAATCTCATGCTTACATCATTTACTTTTTTATACACACTTATCTACTTAATTATTATGAGTAGTGAGTTGAAAGTTTACCGTGATAAACGGTTGATTTGTACAACTAAATTATATCTTTATATATTTAAAATATCAAGTTTACTACATGTATAAAATTTAATGAATATTATACAGGTATTATTGATGTTGTTAGGATATACAACTCGAATACACAAACATGTCCTAGTATAGTTCTACAAGGTTTCGAAGAAAGCAGTTACAAGTTCCATTCTTAAACATATAATCGACTCCTAATTATATTTCATTGACCTACAAGTTGATTTTAAAGCTGTTTATACAATTTGTCTAAATCTATTTAGATTTCTTCGTACCCAAGTCCTTAAAACTGCCGAAGCTTTTAACATCCACGAGTTAAGGCTAAAACTGTGTGTACAACACAAGTACATCTTATTCCTATGGTTACCATGACCGTAAACATTATTATAGTTTGTATTTGAAAATATCCTTCTCTCTCTTTAATTATGTTTCATATCTTTATGATTTCATTCATAACTGTTTCTGATATGACTTCATTTCACTGAACCTCTCTATTACCTTTAATTCTCATAACAAAAATGTGTTGATTATCTTACTTCTTTCACATTATAATCCATTATTAATTTAAACATACTTTCTATTTGAATACACATAATCTTTTATTGTTATTATTCACACTACATAATCTAGCATTATAATTTTGAGATTATGGAAATTTCAGTGGAGTTTTGTTCTCTGAGGTGGCTGGTTTGATCGTGGGAGTCTTCATCACTCTTCTGAACAACATCAACACAAGTGAAGTGTTCAAATTTCTCCACATATGACTCACAGTTTGTCTGGTAGACCTTGATTTTGATTGGTTATTGTTGACCTTTAACTTGTCATTGTTTACTTCTTTATCTTGATTGTATCCCTCATTGATTTGATTCTTGGTTCTATATTTGTCTATGGTTTTTCTGATTGGTTGTGTTATATCTTGTGACATGAGTGCCCTGTTAAAGGATATTGTGATAATACCACCAATCAGAGAGCAGTGAATTATCGATCGGACCAAAGACGCGTTAACACGTACGAGCAGCCTAGAGTCTTGATTGGTCCTGCTTTCCGCCTAACCCAGCTAATTAAGTCCTGATCACTAATCTCAGCCTATGCGGTATGAATCATTATATTTCAAACATACTGAGTTTATATACCAATCAAACAGACCACAACGTAGCATAAAATATGAAACAACATTTGCACAAGATTTGGCCAAAAGTGGCTGTGAATGTGGTAGGTAGTAATGAATAGTCAGGACATAATTCAAGAATGGTATATCGTAAAATAATAGTTCATAGGTCGAAATAAAGCTCATAATAAGAGCGGCATGAATATGAATAGTTGAGTTACTTAACAATTATACGATAAAAATGTACGCATAGTACTGGTCCATAAATGGATCACAAAAGTTACCATTCATTACGCTTATCGGAACATAACAGGTTGATAGATTGAATCGATTTCAATGTGCTTATTGATTACTGATTGACCTAAGTGCCAAACTTCTAAAAATTCTCTGGTGTTTTTAGAATTGCCTCTATCAAAGATCTCAACATTTTCCTAGTCGAATGTGTGTTCACAGTTATCCACATGCACTGATATAACCGTGGATACGTCACGGCGTTTGACCACTAATTAATGTTCGTGCAAGCGAAGGTGAAGTGGGAGCGTCCACTTTATCTGATGTAGTATTTTCCGTAGTTGGAACAATTTATTTTGTAGATGATATTCGGTTTTTCTTTTTTTTCTTATTTCGTCATTTGGTTTACATAGGAATGATTGGAGTGATTTTGTAAGTTTGTTTTCTACACCTATTCCAAAAGACTTTAATAATCTCGTAATTTCTGATGTATCTTTTATATATAGTAGAATGATCCTTTTATTGGTTTCTGTACCTGGTTTTGTTTCTGCTGATGCGTTGGGTTGATATTTTCTAATGAAGTTGGTTAATTATCCGTTCTTTTGAAATATAGTCTTTAGCTATTGTTCCGCATTTCAAGTGTGTTGCATCGTGCTCTTGCCTTCTTGAATAGGGTTTGCACTCAGTTGATTTTTGGAAGTTCTTGGGTTGTTGCTACTGTAATTGAGGATTTGATCTGTATGGATCGCCTTCCCATATAATTGAGTCTCTACTTTTTCTGTGTCGTTTCTGGCGATTAGTACATCCATGATGAAGGCTCGACTAGCTTTCGCCAACTTGCGTCATTTATAGCGTAAGCGAGATATCCGTCTATCAACCAAAGGACGGGTTTACTGCGCATCAGTTCGTTCTGTCCTACTTTATGGCTGTGAAACGTGGCCGGTAAGAGTAGAGGATATTTGTCCGTTACTTGTATTTGATCATAGGTGTCTTCGAAAAATTGCTGGTATATCCTGGGACCATCGAGTAAGTAACGCATTGTTAGGAAACGGGTTCTAGGTAAGGATGGCAAATCAGTTGATAAAGTAGTGAAACATGGCACAAGTCCATGAAGTTGCTGACAAGTGGACTGAGCCATGTTGGTGGGTGTAGACTACGTGGTTGGGGACCGCGAGATGATAGCAACCGATGGTTGGAGACCCTGAATGACATGGCTCAAAATCGTTTGCAATGGCACAAGTGCATCCATTCTTTGTGTTCTCCCAATTCCTAATCTTCTGAATTCTTCATGTGCCTTATTTTCTTTCTAAATTTATTTAACTGTATTATACTCCTTGAATAACATCTTCAAGCCATAATGTTTCTGATTACTGCTTATACTCTTACTGCCTCTACCACTACGGAATTCGAATCGACAACTGCATCTCTGTGCTAATGTGGTGTGGCATCTCGAACTGATGTACGTACGTACGAAGTTCTACGTTGTTACTGACTGACTGACATCCATGATGAAAGGATTATAGATACATAGTTATCTAGTTAATTAGTAATTACACAACAATACAATAATTTTCATAGTTGAAATCACAAGTGGAACTTAGCTAGACATCTATTAAAAACTTGGAAGCACTGAACGGTCGTTTCGTTCTAGTATGAGATTAGGTAGTACCTGTCAACGATAATTAATATTAATGCGAAAAATCAGTTTTAACTTCTGTAATATTTACTTCGTTATAACAACGATAATATTAATTATAATCTTTATTATTGTTATTACAGGGAATGCATGGGAACTTTGTTACAACTAAGAGATTTATTGAAGAATTGATCCTATATCCATGATAAGAAACTTACATTACATTCAAGTGTATGTATTTGTGTGTATCTGCATATATGTATATAATTTGTTTTAATAATTTCATAAATGAGTTTTGAAAACAAGAATTTAAAGGTAATTCCATCCACAACTACATGTGAACTTGTAAAATAAAAAAAAGTACTGAAGATTCCTTTTTACTGCGTCGTTTTTTTCTTTTTCTGAATATTATATATATATATATATATATATATATATATATATATATATATATTTCAGTGGTTGAAATCATGAGTCAATTAAAGCTAGACCACCATTGAAAACCTGGAAGCACTGGACGATCGTTTCGTCCTAGTATGGGACTTCTCAGCAATGCGGAGGGCAGGATCGTGGATGCGCATTGCTGAAGAGTCCCAAAATAGGACAAAACGTCCGTCCAGTGCTTCCAGGTTTTCCATGGTGGTCTAGCTTCAATTGACTCATGATTTCAAGCAGTGACATTTATAAAAAATCTCCACAAAACCCATTCTGATAATATATATATATATACGTTGGGTTGTGTATAGTGTTCTCCTGTCTCTTGTTGTATTATCAATCAGTATTTAACGTGTTTGAATTATCTGTCCAGACTTGTTATTATTTTTATTCGATTTTATGATATCCTCTATTTTATTATGATTAAACAATGACATTGGTGAATTAACAATAATGAAGTTTTATATGTTGATTTTATTACGAATGAAAAAAGAAAAGCACTGCGTAATAGGGTTGTAACTTGTATACAGTTTGCGTTATTTTACGGTAGTTTTATGTTATGACGATATATAGTTTACTATAATGATCATTAATATATATATATATATATATATATATATATATATATATATATATATATATATATATATATATATATATATATATATATATATATAGCCCCCAAATGCCCTGGTGCGGCCGTGAGTGGGGATAGTCCGCTCTCCCTCTCGAAATGCTCTCACATAGCCACGCGTATATAGCCTCTGCGAGGGAAGTCCTACTCAATGCGTTTTCGTGGCGGGGGTGTTGTTTACGAAATTGAGAGGATGAAAAGCGAATGTCCGGCGCTTTAACCGGGTTAGCGGACATGGAGAGTCCACCTGGAGGAGTTGGAAAACCCTCATTCCAAATCAGTGGTGGACATGGGCTCCAGTATCCTGAAAGAACAAATGGCATATGAACCAGCCGTTCGTCACCGGCTACTGTGGGACTGCATCTCCTTACGATGCTCTACTGTCTTGCGGATCAGACCTGTGGGTCGAAGGCTCCGGGTGTGGCTCCCTTAGAAAACCACCTGCTTCGGTTTAGGCACCCGGGCAGTATCACAGCCCTCACACATATCAAATGAGATTTGTGTGGCGCATATGTATTTGGTGCCTCCTTGTACCAATATCTATGTGTTAAAATAAGTAAATATACTGAATGATATAGATCAATTTACAGATAGTTTTGAATAAGGTAGTGGTGTGTATATTGGCATCTGTCACTTACTACTGGTTTCCCTCACTATGGAAGGATACTTTTTGTTGAGGTGCCTTAAAAATAAACTGGAATAAGGGTGACCTTAGTGATCTAGTTGCGTGACTACAGAACTTAGACGACAATCATCTTAGATCAGTCACTCACGGCGAGTAGTTAATAATGTGTTAACTTCATAGTCTAAATGGCTTACGACCAGCAACGGAATTAGAAGTATATTATTTTTCGAGTCAGTCTTTTCTGATCTGTCTTTCATTGTGCATAGCATTAATTCAGATATTGGTGATCTGAGGAAAACATCTTATTGCTATCACACCTCTACATAGTCAGAAGCGTGACTTCATCCTTTGACCTTAATTTACCACTTTTACTCAATTGTATGCAAGTTTTCTTATTTCAATAAACTTACATCAATACTCAAACAAACTGATGATTTAACAAGAAGGGGATATTGTCAAATGCCTTTTCATAATCAAGAAAGTTAATGTATAATGACGAGTTCCATCCAATTGATTGTTCAACAATGATCTTTAGGGTCACGATGATATATGAATGTAAATTCGTGAGAATTTGAAAGATAAATACTTCAAAGTAATTACGTTATATTTGAAAGGGCTTTAACTACTTATTATTGTTTGCTAAAGTATGCTGTATTTTAAATTGTATAATCATAAGCTGAATGGAACTTAACACATGCATCGTTTCAAGTTGCTATACCACATTAGCAGAACGAGATAAAATTATTTGAAAATAAATCTTAGAGTAGTGGAAGTGTTAACTGTATCAGTAGTAATAGGAAAGATTTTATATAGAACAAGGAATACGGTTTATGAAGATTTCAGAATTTAGGTTTTAGAGGGAAATAAGGAGTGAATATGTTTCCAGTATTCCATACGCTTCTGATCTATGTCACTGAAAGTCTAACCATGCTTTACAATAATCAAGCGGCCTCCAAAAATGTAGTTTACACCTACTTAAATATCTTAGCGCAATTGTAATGACTCCGAAGATTGGTCTTACGTTTTGATTTCGACACTCCTAGCTTTTTTCTAAACCATTTTTACACCAGACAACATCGACATAAGCAGTAGTTAGGCATACGTAACACATATCCCAACAATCAGTGTGTCGAAAAATATTTTTTTTAAAAACAATGTCCGAAAATGCTTCGATAAACTGGTATAAGGACAATGATTTTTGCTTTAAACTAATTGCAGAACGAGATTTGTCGATATACTAGCACTCAGTACTGTTTATTAACATCTTAATAACTCCGTAATAGTTCAACACCAAAAAAATATCATTGTTTTGGTAGTTTCGTTATCCGAAGTCTACTCTGTTCTTGTATATGTCGAATGATATTCGATTGGCTAACCAACTGTTAGTCACGTTAAATAACATTTTTCATTTGACCAATTCATTCTTTTGAATATTCAATAATTTTATGATATAAGGTCTAATTATAACTACTTAGCTATCCAAACAGTAGTAAGTCTATCATGTTTTGAGCTGGTCATAGTATGTACAGTAATAACAATAATTAATATACAATCAAATTATAATAAATTCAAATTTCGAGATGGTGGAGATTTGTGGCTCAAGTGAATGATTTCGATGGAGTTTTGTTCTCTGAGCTGGATGGTTTGGTCGTGGAGCTCTCATCGTTCTTCTGAACGGCATCATCAGCACAAACTTCAGATAGAAGTGAAGTATTCAAGTTTCTCCACATATGGCTCATAGCTTTCCCTGTAGACGTCAAAGTAAATAATAACAGGTTTAAGGTCAACAAGAAACAATGAACATTGAGGTCTACAAGAGGCTGTGAGCCATATGTAGAGAAATTCGAATACTGCACTTCTATCTTAAGTTTGTGCTGACGATATCGTTCAGAAGAACGATGAATGCTCCACGACCAAACCATCCAACTCTGAGAACAAAACTCCATCAGAATTATATTTTCATACAACCTACTGGTTACGACCTTGAGCACCTGTCTACCCACTTTTGGTGCTGAGGATAACTTATATAATCTAGATCAAAACCTTGAAGTGATATGTTGACTGGCTTAACCTTGAAGCTTGTATACGTGAGTTCGAAGTGAGACCAACTGTTTGAGGTAGAGAGACGAAAACTATTCTGTCACCTGATTGGCTGACAAGCACGCGAATGAGAGAAAGTCAACTGCAACACAAAGTTTATTTCCAATAATGACTGTTTCCCGATTTCGAACTAGTATAAAAAAAGACACATGAATAAATAGATAACTGAGTGGATCACAATGCACAAACAATTAGGAAAATATAATTATTTTCAATAGTTGAAATCACTAGTCAATTGAAAGTAGACCATCATGGAAAACCTGGAACACTGTGCGACCGTCTCGCCCTATTGTGGGACTCCTTAGCAGTGCGGATCCACGTCCCCGCGTCGCGAGATTCGAACCCAGGACCTGTCAGTCTCGCGCATGAGCGCTTAACCATTGGTGACCAACCAGGTCTGTTGGGAGATAATAACTCACTGATAACAGTGATGGATGTGTCGCTCAATTTCGTGAATTGGTTGAAGCTAGACATTAACACTGATGCGTCCTTTGTTCAAATCCCGCCGAGTGGGATCGTGGATGCACACTGCTGAGGAGTTCCATACTAGGACGAAACGACCATCCTATGCTTCCAGGTTTTCCATGGTAGTCTAGCTTCAATTGACTCATGTTCTTGACTATTAAAATTACAATTATAATTTCCACAAAAACCCCTTCTGATATTAAATACAATTATGTCCAAAATTGGAGGTTAGCGTAGAAAAAGAGTAAAAAAGATTATATTTAAATCACAATAACTTTAGAACAGAAAAGGCTATGGCAATGAATCATACATCAAACGAAAGCTTATAATCTTACTATTTTACAAGTTTTGAATTAAGTAAAATAATATTCTCAATAATAGTTTCAAGAATTTGTCAAGGTGTTATGTCCTTTGGTTCGTCTACCCACTTTTGATGCTGAGATACTTAACTGATCCGGATTTAGAGCTTGGTGCGATAGACTGACCGACCTAACATTGAGGCTAGTACGCTTGAGTTCGAAATGGGGTAGAGAGAAGAAAATTATTCTATCACCTGACTGGCTGACAAGCACCCGTATGAGAGAAGACAAGACAACTGAAACACTACCCGATCTACTCCCGACATCCTGATTTCAGTTCAGTTCGGATTAGTGTAAAAAGGTACATGAATGAATAGGTGACTGACCGGACACAACGTACAATAATTAGCAAAAATACAATTATATCCAAAGCTGGGAATTAGCGTAGAAAATAAGGTGCAAAATATTATGTTTAAATTACAATAGCTTCGGAACAGATAATGGTTATGGCAATGAACCATACATCGAACGAAAACTCATGTTCTGTAGAATAAATTAGGGACAAAAATAAATGTTAGTGTTTTACAAGCTGTGCATAAAATGAAATAACGTCCCGAAAAATAACTTTCGTAGT